CGCGTCACCTTCTCTGCCCTAGGAGCTTGGGATGCCGGTGGGGGAGCTTCCTTCCTGTTGATTCTTGACGTTATTTCTCTTTCTTTTCTTTTCTTTTTTTTTGGTACTGGGGATCGAAGTCAAGACCTTGCACTGGTGCAGCGCCACTGAGCTATGTCCCCGGCCCCAATTTTTTTCTGTTTTAACATTTAGATCTTTGATCCATGTTGATTCTGGCTTAGTACGTGGTGATATATATGGGTCTAGAGTCAATCTTTTGCATGTGGACAGCCAATTTTCCTAGTACCATTTATTAAAGAGTCTATCTTTCCTCTGGTGCATGTTTTCAGTCCCTTTGTGAAAGATCACATAGCTGAATGTGCCTAGAGTTGTTTCTGTATCCTCTATTCTGTTCCACTGATCTATATATCTGTTTTTGTGCCACTACCATGCTGTTTTACTACTTGATAAGACAACTTTGTAATATAACTTGATATCTGGCATTGTGATATCTCCTGCTTTGCTCCTGTTATCCAGGATTACATTTGCTCTTCTGGGTCTCTTCTGGTTCCACGTGAATTTTAGGGTTGTTTTCTCAGTTCTATGAGGAATGTTATTGGTATTTTTATTGGGATTGTGTTAAATCTATATATCAATTTTAGAAGAATAGCCATTTTGACTCTATTGGGTCTGCCTATTCAGGAACAGGGATATCTTTCCATTTTCTGATATCTTCTTCAATCTCCTTTTTCAGGGTACTGAAGTTTTGTTTGGTACCAGGGATCGAACTCAGGCCCTTGTGCTTTTGAGGCAGGTGACAGAACCACTGAGGTAAATCCCCGGCCTAGGGTACTGTAGTTTTCATTGTAGAGGTCTTTTGCTTCCTTGATTAGGTAAATTTCTAAGTATATAATTTTTCGTGATGTATTGCGCATGGTAGTGTTTTCCTGATTTCTTTCTCAGTGAAGTCATTGTTGGTTTACAATGTGTGTGTGTTGATTTTGCATCCTGCTACATTGCTGAATTTGGTTATTAATGGAGTCTTGTAGTGGAAATTTGGGGCCTTCTGTGTAAAGGATCATGTCCTCTGCAAATAATAATAATTTTACTTCTTTATTTCCTATACATATCCCTTTTATTTCTTTGTCTTGCCTGATTGCTCAAGCTTATGTTCTGAGTACTATGTTGAACAGGAGTGGTGTTAGTGGGCATCCTTGTTTTGTTCCTGATTTTAGAGGAAAAATGTTCAGCACTTCCCCATTTAATATGATGACAGAAGGTTTCTCATAAATTGCTTTTATCAGATTGACATAAATACCGTTTATACCTATTTTCTTCAGGTTTTTTTTAACAATTATGAATGGATATTAGATTTTGTCAAAGACTTTTTCTGCATCTTTTTGCCCTTGCTTCTGTTTCTATGATATATTACATTCAGTGATTTGCAAATGTTGTACTATCCTAGCATCCCTGGGGTGAATCCTGCTTGGTCATGATGTATGATCTTTTTGATGAATTGTTGCATTCTGTTTGCCAGTTTCTTGTTAAGGAGTTTTGCATCTATGTTCATTAAAGAAATTGGCCTGTTGTTCTCTTTTTTTGGTTGGATTCTTGTCTGGTCTAGGAATCAGGATAATGCTAGCTTCCAGGAATGACTTTTCTTTCTTGTAAATTAATTTTATTGGTACATTTTAGGCATACAATATAATGACATTCATCATGGGAAATTTGCACTTTTACATAACATAATCTCTCTTGGTTCTTATTTTTCCCCCAACTTTTCTCTCTTTCTTTTTTTTTTGCTTTTTGTTTTTTGTTTTTTGAGATAGGGTCTCACTTTGTAGTTCAGGCTGGCCTTGAACTCACTGTGTAGCCCATGCTGGCCTTCAACTCATGGTGATCCTCCTGCCTCACCCTCCCGGAGTGCTGGGATTATAGGTATGCACCACTGTGCTTGGCACAGGGATGTCTTTTCATTAAAGTATTTGAGGAGATATGGCTTTAGATCTTTCCTGAAGTTCTTGCACAAATCACTAACCCATTGAGACTAATTGAAAGGGAATCTTTCTTGTTGTTGTTGTTTTTTTTTTTTTTCTTGTTTTTTGTCTTTTTTTTAATGGAAGGAAATCTTAAGGGGACCCATTTATTTTCTTATTCTTAGTCATTAGGTTATATAGCACAAAACAGTTGTTGATAGTTATATTAACCTTTTTTCTTTTTTCTTTTTTCTTTTTTTGGTACCGGGGATCGAACTTGGGTCCTTGCGCTTGTGCAGCAGGCGACGAAACCAATGAGCTAAATCCCCGGCCCTATATTAACCTTTTTTAATGCAGGTTTTAGAACAAAAAGGCAATATGGAGAATAGAATTGAATACTGTTTTTGAAATTCTTCCTTGGCCAAGAAATAAAGGAAATGCTGTGTAGTAGGCTGAGTAAAGGCTTCGCCAAAATGTCTGTGTCTTATCCTCCAGACCTCGTGGGTGGTTAAAAAAACCTTTTCAGTGAAGATCCTGAGATGGAGAGAGTGTCCTTGTGGGCCCAATATGGTCTCAATGTTGCATACAAAAAGATGGCAGGGAGGTCAGAGAAAGGGATTAGAAGATGCTATGTTGCTGGCTTTGAAAATGGAGGATCTGCCTTGAACCTAGAAATGCAGGAGGCTGCTAGAACATAGAAGCAAGGAAATCTGCTCACTCCTAGAACATCTGGAAGGAAAGTAGTTCTGCCAGTGCCTTGGTTTTAGCACTTTTGACCTCTGGAAGTAGATGAGAATAAATCTACTATTAAAGCTACTAAGTTTGTGGTAATTTATTATACCAGCAGGAGGAAGTGATACAGGTTACAATTCATCTTTAGTGGATTCTTTCGCAAAGTAAGTTTCTTAGTGACCATCAAGGTTTTCTAAAAATGATGTCTTAGATAATAAAAGGTAAGCCTACAGCACAGCAAGTATTTATTTTTTGATTCTTTATTTATTTGGTACCAGGGATCAAACTCGAGATCTTGTGCTTGTGAGGCAGGTGGCAGAACTACTGCGCTAAATCCTCGGGCCCCTACCACAAATATTTTTAAAAACACATTTCTCTATTTATTTGCAAATGTGGTCTCTACACTAGAATTATCCATGAGAATTCATGAAGCAGCATCTTTCAAAACCTCCTCTTCTAAAAATAATGACGAAAAATCAAAATTCCCAGGAGACTCTGAAGAGCCTGCTCAGGTGGAAATAGACAGATCTGTGGAAAACACCATCCCAGACAGTCAGATGGTTTCAACTGATAATGCTTTGTCTCCTCACAATTACATTCCTCAAAAAGGTAAGAAACAAATTCTTCTCTAATTCATCAATTAAGGAAGAAATTAGATTTGGAAGTTATATATCAAATATTAACATATTTTTATTTATAAATCAACAGAAGATGGGTCCAGGTTTCAGATTCTGAAATATTTATTTCAAATTGATATTTGTGATGTCATGACTTCTGTATTTTCACCAATTGTACTTCTTTCAGAATGGGTAAGTTGCTCTTTTAAATCTTTTGCAATAATGTAAAAAAATTGATTTTACTAAGTGTTGGGGTAGTTTTAAAATATGTTTGAATGACTCTTCCCTATATACTTTTCATAATATTTCTTTTTCTGTGAAATTGTCATATAATATTGTACATTAATGTTTTGTTACATGGATTTTTTTTGGTACTGGGGATCGAACTCAGGACCTTGTGCTTGTGAGGCAGGTGTGGCACCACTGAGCTAAATGCCTGGCCCTGTTACATGGATGTTAAGATTTTTAAAATTCTTTTTTTAAAAAAATTTGCTGATCTTGAGTAATTTTTTCTTTTTTTTGAAATTAGGGAAAATTATATTAAATGAATTAACTCAGGAGTAATATAAACGAAAGAGTACTAAGCAAATTGTTAGTATTCAAATGATGGCTGTTACCTCAAAGTGGTATAACATGAGAGTACAAAAACAACTAGTATTTCAAAATTTAACCAAGTTGTGACTAAAATTTCAAATTCTGCTCACTTTTCCATTTTTTGGTAATTTCTAAAGCACTTATTCACTTCTTTAACCTATTACATATTAGAATAACATTTTTATTAGTGTATATTAGTAATACAGAATAGTGAGTTTTGTTTTGAGAAATGAATTCATGCATATAACATATTTTGATCATTTTCAATCCCTTTACTCCCCACTGTTTCATTTATTATAAAACTTACTGAGATCTAGTATTACAAAAGGAGCCAGTTGTCATACTTAGCACACAGGAGAACTTTTACAAATGTGGGTTCTTTTCTTTTCTACTGCTACCATAAAAACAATTGAAGAAGTATTTTTATCTTCTCACTTTTTGTTTGTTTGTCCTTGCGCTTGTGGGGCAGGTTGCGGCACCACTGAGCTAAATCCCCGGGTCTCTCACTTTTTTTTGCAATACTAGAGACTAAACTCAGGGCCTTTGCATTGCGCTACATGCTTAGCCCTTATTTTTATTTCCTATTGCAAGACAGGGTCTTGCTAAGTCTCTAGATTGCCCAGACTGGGCTTGATCTTTTGATCTCGCTACCTCAGCTTCTGAGTGCTGGGATTACAGGTGTGCACCACCACACCCAGCAGAGGACACAGTTAAGAAAAGTGATAGTTATAACACAGTGTTGTAATAGCCATAGGATGCTACTGATGGAGGAGGAGCTTCCTGGCAGATGGACTGGAAGTGGTAGGTAGAGAGAGTGGGATTGACTTGTCTAGGAGTTTCCAGAGATCATATTTGAGCTGAGCCTGAAGGAAGAGTAGAGTTAGCCAAAGAGAGAAAGGAGAGAGCGGTTTTGAACGTACAGAAGTGGGAGAGAACATGGCATATTGAGAGAAGTACTTCAGTCACAGTGAGCATAGGAGGAGGCTGAAGATGTATACAGAGATCAAATAAAGAATAGTTTTGTTGCAAGACCTGTCTCAAAATAAAATTTACAAATTGAGACTAGGGATATAGTTCAGTGATAGAATGCTTTCCTAGCATGCAAGAGGGCCTGGGTTTGAACTTCTAGTGCTGGGGGAAAAAACTGGGATAGAGTTATAACATACAAAGCTTTTTTTTTTTCTGTGATCCTGGGTATTCAACCCAGGGCCTCTGGCTTGCTAGGCAAGTGCCATAGTACTGAGCTACATCCACTGCCTTTTAAAAGTTTTAAATTTTGAGACAAGGTCTTGCTAAGTTGTTAAATTTTGCTAAGTTGTTAAATGTTTGAGGCTCAGACTGGCCTCAAGCTTGCCATCCTGCCTCAGCCTCCTGAAGAGCTGGAATTACAAGGATATGCCACAATGATGGCCTTTGTCGAAATTAGTCAGACATGAGAATATTGACTTTCCAATTTATGTTGTCTTGTGATCTTCGAAAGGCACTTATTTTCTACGGAAAGAGTCTCAGTTTTAGAATTTTAATATCAGAAGTGGAGACTATGTCATAGGTTGCTGGTCAAAACTGGCTTGTGCATCATTTAAGAAAATTGTTAATCAGTTGTCAACATTTAAAAGTAAAACCATTTAAAAATCTAAATTTCTGGATTCTCTTGAAAATGTAGAAGACTGTAATATGAACAGTCTCTCATTCTTATATGGCAACATGAAGCTCAAGGCGAATAGCGCTTAAATGGTAGACATGTACTTTTCAATTCCCTACATTTATTTCAACTGCTTGGCCTCTCTAGGGCTTTAAATCCAAAATCTTTATACTAAATGTTCTGAAGAGTTCCTAACACACCTATAATTCTAGTAATCTGAGTGCATCTATTAAGTACCCACAATATAGACTTGAATGACTTCAGAAAGTTCTCTCCCCGCCCCCTCTTCCTTTGAGACAGGGTCTCGCTGTGTAGTTCAGGTTATCCTCAAACTCTCTGTGATCCTTCTGCCTCAGCGTCTGATTGCTGGGATTATAGGCATGTGCCGTCACTCCCGGCTAGTTTCCTTTTCTTTTTGCCTGAATATTTCAGGTAATTGTTTCAGTGTATTGGTAATTTCAATTTACTGGCAATTTTGTACAGAACATAATTTAGTTGTATTGTTCAAATAATAGCAGTCAACTACATTTTATCTACTTTATTTTACAATTGAGGAACCTGTTCTTACATTTATATACTCTTATGTAGAACGGTTCATTTACAGGTGGAATAAACTGGAAATTAACTAGTTGTTCAACAGGTAGCTCCTGATTTAGTATGTTCTGAAAATAACTCTTACATCACTAATACAGAGAATGACAATGTGGCTCAACAATTTTGTTTGATTTTCTTTCAAAGGACTAGATCTTACGGCCTATGACACTGCCTGTTTAACTAAGCGGGAGTAATTAGTACTTATGGCTTTGCATAGGGCCTTTCACAGGGGAAGTTAGTTTGTAGGTTGTGGACACAAGTTACCTGGTTAGCATGTTTCCAATGTTCTTGAATGCTTCCTTTTAGCTTTACAAACACTGATAGCCTTTGTTGGCTATTTCTTTTAAAGCATTTCCTATATAAGACAGTAAAATCCAATGTCTACTTATGGGAACAATCTAAATATCTTTTGCATGGTAGAAATCACCATGTACTTTATATGAATAGGCTATAAAATAGAACATTCAATTTAGTTTTTTTCTATCAGTTAGCAAGTTTAGGATTTTTCTTTGCAATTATAGATTTTAATGGGATAGTGATATATATATTTGAGAAAATACATGTGGACACGTGTGTGTCTATTTATTTAATAAGGTGTGAGGTCCATGAAATTGGATCACGGGTTGGTAGTCATGACCCCACCTGTAGGACCCCTTCACCACACTAGTGTCAAAACAGGATCGCAGTGGTGTGGAAACAGAAGAGTGCAGGATATGCTGTATGAAGTGCTTAGAGGAACTTCATGTGTGTCTTTGAATGTTTTAACATGAGCATTTTAAGAAATGGAACTGAAAGCTCTGGAGGAAGAGGTGAGCTATGACTATGAAGCGTCACATATGAAGACATTAGGTTTGGAATTTTACGCTGAGTTTGTTAAACTTTACTGTGTTTTTGCTATGGGGCCACTTAGATTTTCATTCTTCTTAAACTTAATGTGTTCTTTTGTTTCTGATCTGGTTTCACTATTTGGAATAATTATTGAAAACTGGAAAGAGGCACAGACTAACTTAGGGAGGGCAAAGGGATTTTTTTTTTCAAGACCTAAAAGGTGACTATGATTCTGGAGTCCGCTGAAAATGTTCAGACTTGTTGAATATTTTTTATTGAGTAATATATTTTATTGAGGCATGCATTGGTTTTAAAGTCTGAAATGCTAAAGATAAAACTTTGATTATGTTTCTGTTCTGACTTTAGAAGCTATTCACATAATCTAATTTCAGTGCACACTTTCTGACACGTATGAAGGTGTGCATTACCTTGAAATGGGGAATTATTAATCTCTGATCCCGTCAGTTCCTGAAACTCCTTAGGGTGATGTGGCAAAGATGAGAGCGAGTAATTTGAGTTCCGAAAAACTAGGCCACGTTTTGCTCTTGAAATCTTCCCTGTGAACTTGGGTATTTTTAATTTTTTTTTAACACCTAAAGATTGTGTTGCTACAAGAGTTTACCTAGGGAAATTTCTCAAGGATTCAGGATTTTGTTCATACATCAAGTTCTGCTGGGTGATTGGTTCAGTGAGAAGCATATTTTCCTTTTTGAGTTGTTTCACTGAACACTTGAGTTAGAAGGTAGAAATTTAACAAGAATGATTATGCCCATAAGGAAGATGTTTAGAGATGGGTTATCTTTTACATCTGTGTCATCTAAAATTATTTCCTACACTATTCAGCGGCCCTAAAACCAAGGCCTTAAATTTAGAGGGCAAGTTGCTACTTCCAGCTCTTCTCTCAGAGGGAAACAGCACTGTCTGGGCCAGGGTCCACAGGGTTGGGGCTGGCGCTCGGGTACCCGGAGCACGAGGCCGATCCGCCGCCTGGGGCCGTGACACGGGGCACCCTCTGCGGGCTGCGGCGCGCGGAGCGGGTGTCCTCGCCTGGGTGAGGACGGACGGAGCCGCGCACAGCAGACAAGCTAGCCTTCCAGTCTGAAGTCCAAAGTCCGGAATCGGTAGGCGGGACGCCCTGGCGCGTGTCCCACGGGGCAGATTCAGACCAGAGGACGGCGGGGTCCCCCAGGGTACGACCCGTCAGGGCTTGTGCGGGGTACAGATGGCAGGCTCCGGGGGGGGGGGCGGAGGGGAGGGCGCTGGGACTGAGCCAAGCCCTGGCAGCCGGGGCCCTGGGGGCGCACCCCAGCGCTGAGCCTGAGAGCGAACGCGGGGCGGGACGCGGGACGCGGGACCCGAGCCCCTGAGCCCCCGAGCCCCCGACTGCTGGGGCTCGCGGCCTGGGAAGGGAGCGTCGGCCCCTTTAAGAGCCAGCGAGTAGGACACGTAGCGCGAGGGGGCGGGGAAGTTTCCTGGGTCCGCACCGCCCCGCCTCCCCGCGGCCGGAACCAAAGCGCGCGCGCGGGGGTGGATA